AATATATATATATATATATACTATAGGAGTACGCCTGAAGAATTCTACTTGGTATACACATTTTGAAACAAATTGCATGCGCAGACTAGGAAGGTATATACCCTTATACAACATGTAATCACTGATAAGCACTCTGTACCTAGAAAGATCAGGCAAAAGGTCCCTCGGTAGACCGGCCACACCGCTACAACCTCCGTTCTATCCAAGAGCCCATCCGGAAACTGGACTATCATCCCCAAGAAGAGCACTACAGGCAAAGAGACAATGAAATCAAATTAAGAAAATATTAAACAAAGAAAAATCCATTCTAAGACGTGTCAGTCCCTCTTATTGCAGAGAATGGCACCACAGCAGCAGCAACAGCAAGGGTATCAATTCGATTGACACAATTGCCACCCGACGGTAGAATAGGGCACTACGGTTTAATGCGAATCAGCCGCAGGAGACAGCAGTACTGTGGAATAAAAGTGTGCAGCGTCCAGCTATCAGATGTGACACGGTCAAGTGCTTTATCTTTGAAGGTATATATGAAGATGCATTCTTATCTTTAAATGTATATATGAAGATGTATTCCTATCTTTTAAATGTATAAATGAGTATGTATTCTTATCTTTAAATGTATATATGAGGATGCATTGGAGATCGATTGTATAGCAATGATATAAGGCACTACGCGCTATGGTGATCAGATGAACTGTATCGGAAAATAAAAGCATTAGAATGCGTAATACCATACCAGGAGCAGGGCTCAGCCCTCGTACGCGATACACGCGCGCACGCCAATTCAAATACATGCATCTGCACATGGCACATACACAACACACCCGCCACAGATACGCAGGAGAGACAGTAGATATTAGTGCTACAAACGTTGCCATTCATCATACTTCACATTTTTTGGGATTTAGGGTGCCGCATTTAGGGTTTAGGGTATGAGGTGCACCTCAACAGACAAACCCGTCAGCAGTACACAAAAGCGGGATTGGAAATGCATGCCATAGGTTTAGCCATTCCTCATATTTCAGGTTCGTAAACTTTGCAGTTTCGCGTTTATGGTATGAGATGTAACGCACAATACGCGCCATACGCACGCAGAAGCAAGAAGAGATATAAATGCGGGGACAGCACACTTAGTTTTGATGCGAAACAATGGGTTTGGTTATTCAACATATTTGAGGTTTTTATAATTCAGGATATAGCGTTTAGATTTTTGAAGTAGAACGTAACCTACCGTCAGAGGTACGCAGAAGCCAGAATAGATATGAAATTTATTCATTTGATCATTGAACATATTTCAGGAGAAGCCAGAATAGATATAAAATCTATACATTTGGTCATTGAACATATTTCAGGAGAAGCCAGAATGGATATAAACGCAATACATTTTCATGAACATACTTCAGGAGAAGCCAGAAGACTGGATATAAAATCTATACATTTGGTCATGGAACATACTTCAGGAGAAGCCAGAATGGATATGGATGCTATACGTTTGGCCATTTAAAATACTTCAGGTTTTTGTGGCTTTTTAAGTATAACTAAACATACCCGCTAGAGGCACGCAGAAGCCAGAATGGAAACCAATGCTATAGGTCTGGTCGTTTCTCATGTGGTGGGGTTGTCGCCGCCTCAACAGATCGCGACGAGCCTGATATGCGCATTAGACAATACGTTTGAGAAGTGGTACAAGTGTATACAACTCGAGCACTACTCCGTGTCAAGCCCAGGAGTGGAACAAAACATTCTGATTGGATGGTAGTCGCAAGGGCGAACCATCTCCTCAAATGTTCTCGAGATAGCTAGGGACTTCACGAGCCACAACCGACGGTTTCGATCACCAAGTTTATGATATGAAAACCAAGATTCTTCTTGTGATAGGATTCTGAATTCTACCAACAAAACTCAAGACAACAATACAAGGTGACCACTTGTATTTCCCTGTGTCAGGGTATGCGGAAAGAGTACGCGCTCACTAGGGTGAATTGGTTGCATATTTCCACACAGACACTACATATATAGCAACGAAGCACGTGAACACGCGTATAAAACATATACAAGATGACAGCCACATGGTCCAGATCAAGTATAGCACACACAGAGAGACATAGGAACACTTCCATCCACCTGCACTCATACACAAACAAACACACCGAAACAAACACTTGTGCATATGGGCATCAACACACGTCACGCGGTCCAAGCGTTGCGAAGACATAGTACCACAAGGCGGACGACGAATGTGCTTTGTATCGTTAGTGTTTGGTGTGTTAAGCATAGCTATAGCGACGAAGGTGCACTACATACTTTAATAAGCGAGCCATATCCCTTGTAGAACCGATTAGCATACAGATTTTCTATATCCCTGTGAAGTGCCCGTCGCCGCACAAATAAGAACGACAACCGGAAAAACAAAAGCAGAATAATTGAGCACAAAGTGGCGTTTCAGGACAATCGTTTGGGGTGAAAATTCGGTACTTGGTACAAACCGACCACTTGGAAGAATTCAAGTTTGGAATGAGTGCCTATGGAGATGTTTACACGGTTTAAATTGAGGTGCTGGATGGCACAGGTGTTGGAGTACCCCACAGGCTATCTACCTTCGATGAACCTTGTAGCAAGCCAGCGAAGATTATTGGAAAACTACCTCAACTATACTACTACAATGTTAGTTTATCAAAGTAGTTGTAGTCGCTATAGGAATCTATCGCCTAACAAAACACAACGTGAGGTACTCAAACTCGCAGTACACAACGCAAACAACACTGCGTCACAACACCACGCCGCACGCATAGCGCCGGCGAGAGCTTACCCTATGAAGTTCTGGATTCCCTTCGCCTGGGTCAGCAAACTCTTGGACGAGTGCGACTGTGATATCATAAACCATGGAGAAATCATGCGCCCTGTGGCCCACGGGTGCAGTAAAGATGTGGGGACGACGGTGGGGTGTTGTGACGTTAGTAGCTACTCGCGTGAAAAGATATACCTTGGAGACACCATGTGCCCTGTCACCCACGGGTGCAGTAAAGATGTGAGAATGACGGTGGGGTGTTGTGACGTTACTAGCTACTCGCGTGAAATGATAAACCATAGAGACATCATACGCTCTGTCGCTCAAGGGTGCAGTAAAGATGTGGGAATGACGGTGGGGTGTTGTGACGTTAGTAGCTACTCGCGTGGTATTAAGGGCGCTGCGTTTCCTTGGGAAAGGATACTGGTCGTGATATAAGCGTAGACGTGCGTATTGTATAACAGGCAACGTACAGGCAACGCACCTGTACGACGATCGTAGTTCTTCAAAATCTCATGGAAAGCACTAAAGTTTATACTGGCGTAATTCTTCAGCAGAAGGAACATGCGATACGTCTCGATGATGGCCTCTTGTAAGCTATTTTCGTCTTGCTGTGTGATGTTAATTTTCAATTGTATAGAGTTGTGTTTATCGTGTTTAGGAGAAAAAAATTGTTCATAAACAAATCGATATTGATATACACACGTTGTCGCTCGAGATGAACACAATCGTTAAGCATACGCTCATGTATGCATATGGATGGTAGATTCGTATGTCCCTGTGCTGGATGCAGACAATTCACTCGTGAATACTCGCTTAGAATACAATATAGACAGAAGCGTGTGTGCAGAATGGTGTACATATTCTTGTACTAAGTCCTTACAACATATTATCTAGCCACAACATACAATTCCTACCATTTGACTACTTAGCTCTCTGTGTATAAGTTTGCATCTAAATATTGTTGCCTGGAAACTTCGAAGCGATTTCAACAGTGTGCCATTGATCCAACGAAAGCCAAACTGACCCTTACAAGGCAATACGAGTGCTATCTCGACAGCCTACGCTTGTAGTGAGGAACCGAGTATACATACACAGGATCATGCGATTCATAGGTACATATGCGTGCATGAGACACGTACAAACAGACCCACCACCATACACTGTAATCATAAAAGCCTGATCTCAGACACACCTCTTCTTTTGGATAATACGCAATGTATTTGCGGATTCCATTTAGTCGTTTCACGGCCGAATGGAAATTTTCGTTGAAGAACTCTGACACTTTCTGCAACAACAATGTAGATTTGTTTAATAGGCCATTCAGTGCAAAAGAAAACGCACACTGGATGGCGCAGTGGGATATAGTTGGTTTATTGTGTGTATGCGAATATACACAACAGTTGCATACTGGACTATAAACAAAATTGCAACCAAGAATATATTGCGAGAGGCATGGATATGCTTACGACGTGAGGACTTTAAAATTGATGCAAACAGATGTATGTACGCACGAGGATGGGATATATATATATATATATATATATGTATGTATGTATGTATACCTAAGGCACACCAGCCCAAGTAGGTTTCTACCATGCACAGCACACACCCCAACACCCAGTACATCTCCCTGTGCGCAAGATAATCATCTCAAACGCTCAGTGAAAACTAAATATACCCAGCTCATTTTCGAGAACTTTGTTTATGGACATACACATGCATCACAACGCAAGTATTGACCATTCAGGGCTGCTATCCGTGGTCCCAGCCGTCACAGACATCCAATTAAAGTATAGGATACCAATGTCCACGATCTTTACGTAAGAATATTGTCTCGTTGTTCTAATCCGTCTCCACTCACCGCGACACGAGGGCCACCCACCGACACACATGAGGAGAGATATCACATCAGACCGTACAACCATGCAATGGCACATATCATGCATGCCATGGGCATACAGCCATGCAATATACAAGACTCTCCACCTACCATATCGTTCTCCGAGAACAGATTGACAAAATCAGCCACTTTCTGCTGGAACTCCTCTTCCATCTGGTCGCAGGTAAGCTCGTCTTCCTCTGAGTCATGGTCCACCCACACCACACTGGCGCGTTGGTTGTTCTGCAGGTGGTTGCGCAGGGCGATGCGGTTCTGCACGTGGCATATCTGCGAGATCAGCCCTTCTAGCTCTCTATGGGGGAAGGTATGAGTGTGTGGTAAATAAAATGCGTTGACGAAGGAAACATGTAATACTGGTCGAGATGGACTATAAAGGGCTGGGGGTGTGGCTTCGTAATTATTCGAGTAGCGTGCTGCTATGGGCCAGAAGTATCCGTACAGAATGTTCTAGGTCTTTGTGGAGTGAGGTGTGGCTTTGCAGTGTGGTGTGATGACAGGACAATGAACTTCATTTGCGCTCAAACGATCTGAAGTGATCGATAGAAGTGTAGGTTCAGAAGCACTCGTTTGGTATGTACTGTGTAGGTTCAGAAGCACTCGTTTGGTATATACTGTAGGTTCAGAAGCACGCGTTTGGTATGTACTGTATAGGTTCAGAAGCACTCGTTTGGTATGTACTGTGTAGGTTCAGAAGCACTCGTTTGGTATATACTGTAGGTTCAGAAGCACTCGTTTGGTATGTACTGTGTAGGTTCAGAAGCACTCGTTTGGTATGTACTGTGTAGGTTCAGAAGCACTCATTTGGTATGTACTGTGTAGGTTCAGAAGCACTCATTTGGTATGTACTGCTGTGGGCTATGCGATGCTGTACATAGCGTGACTGCGGGAGTGGCCCTTCTGTGGTGAGATGTGGACGTTGCAGTGTGACGATGAGAAGGTGAAACCTTTTGTGAGTCTCAACTGATATTATGTGATGTTATCGATTGGACTGTGAGTTCGGAAATAGTCAACTGGTATGGACATATGTGGACTAGACACTTCTTACGTAATTTAAAAGTTGATTTTGGTAACATTTCTCTATACAAGACGTAGTTGTCGTATAATCTTAAGCCTTTCCATTACGAGAAGCCATGACGTGCAAGTAAAAGCACAGACATAGAACGCAAGTCTGCAGTCATGTGTGGTCGTACAATTGTACAATTGGGCGGTGGTATACTACTATGTGATTGGTGTGTGCTATGACACGAGAAATGCTTAGGCCACGAGCTGAGACAGTAATTGCGATTGGGTACTAATGCGGCAATATCCACGATAGCATGATAAACTAATAACTTTTGTATTTCGACGAAGACAGGCAACGTTATTAGAAACTGTTCCGCTCGGGCATCTACATTTTTTACACACACAAATGCAAAGCTGAATCCGAATAGCCAAGTTATGCTGCATATGGACTTACTCGTAATCAACATAATAAGACTCCCAGTCGACCGTACGATTCCTTGCAAATTGCGCATAGAATGTGCCGTAGGACCTGCAAAAGGAAGGCGGTCCAACAATGTTAATTATTAGCCTTCAGTACAAAATTTAAGAATGTGTAAACCGATATAGGTGAAGATAAACGTGCGTATTTTACATTATACAGGTTGTATATCTA